CCCGGACACTTTCCTCAGCCGAGAGGAACTACAGCCAGATCGACAAGGAGGCTCTGGCTGCGGTGTCCGGGGTTAAAAAGTTCCATGATTACTTGTATGGTTGGCACTTTACCCTCTACACTGACCATAAGCCTCTCCTTGGGCTTCTGGCTGGTGATAGGCTGACCCCCCCAATCCTGTCTCCCAGGATGACCTGTTGGATGGAGTTTCTCGCTGCATATTCCTACGCGCTGCGATACCGTCCGGGCAAGCAGCTAGGGCATGTTGATGCCCTTAGCCGCTGCCCCCTTCCCTGCTCTGACCCCCAGCCGGTCCCTTGTCTGTCGGTCCTCTCCATCGCCGAGCTGGACCTCCCTCTCTCTGCCACTGACGTGGCCGCCCACTCTCAAACTGACCTTGTCCTCTCTCAGATCATGGTATGGGTCCTGAGGGGCTGGCCTACAGGGGGCGTCTCTCCCGCGTGCTGCCCTTTTAAAATCCATCAGTTGGAGCTGTCACTCCACTGTGGTTGCCTTCTCTGGGGCGACTGGGTGGCCATCCGTTCCGCCCTCCGCTACCAGGTCCTCCAGCCGCTCCATGCAGACCACCCCGGGGTCACGCGCATGAAGGCGCTGGCCCGGAGTTACGCCTGGTGGCCCTGCCTGGACGCCGACATCGAGGCCTGGGTAGGGAGCTGCGAGCCCTGCCAGGTGTTCCGCCCCGCTCCCCCCTCCGCCTCCTCTGGAGAGTGGGAGATGCCGCGCGGGCCCTGTCCCGCCTTCACCTCGATTTTGCGGGTCCCTTCCATGCCCAGGTTTTTCTGGTCGCTGTGGATGCCTACTCTCTCTGGGTGGAGCTGGGGCTTGTGCGCTCCACCACTGCGGAGAGTACGGTGCGGGCTCTGCGGCGCTTGTTCACCACTCACCGGTTGCCGGACATCGTGGTGTCCGACAACGGCCCACAATTTTCCTCCACTGTTTTCCAGGCTTTCCTGGCCGCCCACGGGATTCGCCACACACCGGTCGCCCCTTACCATCCAGCCAGCAATGGCCGGGCTGAGAGGGCGGTCTGGTCAGCCAAGGAGGCTTTGGGCCGTATGGACCGTGGCGGCTGGCAGGCAAGGATGGATGCTTACCTAATGGCCCAGCACTCCACTCCTTGCCCCCTCATGCGGCAAAGCCCCGCGGAGCTGTTGATGGTCCGCGGACCACTCTGGATAGACTACACCCCCTCTATTCAGGAATTCAGCCTGGCAACCTGGGGCACCCCTCCCATTCCTTTGCTGTGGGGGATCTGGTTTGGGCCCGTAACTACTCTGGGGACCCACCGTCACCGATGTAACCGGCCCCATTTCCTACAGGGTTCACCTACCCGATGGCTGCGAGTGGCGGCGCCACCTGGATCAACTGAGGCGCCGCCACCCTCCAGAGGCCTCTAGTCAAACCGACACGCAGAGGCCGGCTGCCGACGTCTTGCAGCCAGCCCCGGATCCGCTGCTGTTTCTGCAAGCTGTACCATCGCTGGCCTTCCCCAAGTCAGGCCAACCCTGCCCGGGCGCCGGGACTCAGCACCCCTCCGCAGCAGCTCAATCCGCCATCGCACCGCCTCCTTCTGCACAGTTAGGCCTTCCGTTGTCAGGCCTCCCCAACCCCCTGGCCGCCTACCGGCCTGTTCAAAATTACCCGCTTCCTCCAGCCGGGCCCCCTCCGCCTGGCCTACCTTTTCCAAGGGTTCCGCCTCCTGGCCTAGGCCACAGTGACATCACCCAGAGCTCCACTCCCTCCAGGGAGGAGCTCCCACGGGGACATCTTACCTCTCCAGCGCCGCCTCTTCAACTAAGGCGTTCTTGGCGTGTCCGCCATCCACCTGCCTACCTGCAAGAGTACGCATGGACTACTCTTGACGCATGCGCCCTCGCTGGGGGGGGAAGAGATGTTAAGTCGTCGGACTTACGAATGACAGCTCGGCAACAGCCAGGCACGCCGGAACCAATCAGGCGCGACCTGCAGTTGCCAGGCTGTCAAACGCGCGGCTATTGGTCTCCCTGTCTGACAGCTCCGTATAAATAGCTGTCAGA